TCAAGAGTACTCTGAGACAATGAAACCCATTATTTTGTATAATTAAAATGCACTAATTAAAAAAAAAAGCCTCTGGGAAACTCAACCCATTTTTGAGTCCCAATCTGTGCAAGTGCAGTTGCCTTCCCAACAGACCCCTATTTTAACAATAAATGTGTGCTGAATCTTGGTTAAAAGGAGCATTTTGTGCAGGTCTGTGATAAACCCTCAAATATCTGACTCTGGTGCATGGTCCAGGACTCAACTCTGGACTGTGAGCTGCAGGTGATGGAGGGAGATCTACCATGTCTCTAAGAAGCCCATGAAAGTCAAAAATGACGTCTCCATCCTGGAAAGTGAACTGTACACACTAAGGGCAAGATCTTGCATGTTGACACCAAGGTTACCCCCTTAGCCCCACCCAAAAAGAGGTATGCCATGTTTGACAACAGCCACACAACCTCATGTACACTTCTGCCAGTATGACATCAGTAACCACTGTAGCACCTGATGAGCCTCAGGGAAGTGCTGGCAGGATCACACTGGGAAAGAGTAGTTGTTCACAATGTGGAGGTGATGAAGCATAATCCTTTCTTCCACCAGAAAGGTCATTTTTTCCCTCATTTTTTTGTTTTGTTTTGGTGTTACTTTCTCTCTTTTTAAAAAATTTTTTAGTTGATGGTGCTGAGAATTAAATCCAGTGCTTCACACATGCGAGGCAAGCACTCTGCCACGGAACCACAACCCCAGCTTCCTCTTTCTTTAAAGCATCTTTATTCTCAGCTTTATCTTACCTGAGAGTAAGGTAACTGCCTGGTTAAAATTCCTATCAACAACAACTGGCTAACCTTTTGCTTTGCAAAAATACCAAGTCCAGGCAGCATGAAAAAGTAACCAGCAAGGGGAAACTCTTAAGTGATTTTCCAGTAAGGAACCATTTAAGGAACTACAATGGCAAGTTCAAAGTATGGTTATTTATAAGATATGCCTTATAAAAACTTCTTAAGCAGCACCTACCCTGCTCCTAAACCCTACCCCAATCACCCAGAATCCACTGCAGCAGTACCCCCTAAACATTCTCAAGCAAGTTTCACCCTTCTGTATGAACTCCTGATAACTGACATGTTTGTAAAAAATGACTAAGCCACTCCATTAACCATTCTCAAAATTGTTCCTGTCCTTCTCTCTCCCTGTCCTCATTGTAATTGGACACAACACCTTTATTTTTATGTGGTGCTGAGGATCAAACCCAGCCCCCAGAGGTGAGCGCTTTACCGCTGTGCCAAAACACCTAGCCCCTTGACTCTCTCTTTAGATATAGAAGACCTATCTTCCTCACTGCAGGGGGAAGGTGTGGGATGCCATATATAATGCCATTAAGGTTAAGCTAAGGGGTAGGAAGCAGTGCCACCTCCTCAGGTTTCAGCAGGAAGAGGAAAGGTGTTTTTTGAAAACATGCTATCCCTTCCTTAATGAGAGGTCCAGGAGATTTGGTCACCTTTTTAGAAGTCCAGAGAGGCAATCAATAAAAGCTGAACTACTTTCTCCCCTTCCCTAAACACAAGGAGTAGGTTGCCAAAAAACCAAACCCCCAACACAAGAAAAGACACCATATTGTTAGAAAATTTATTGGGGAAAATCAGTATTCTCAAAAAGGGATAAATTATTTGGGGGGAAGAAAATTTTCTTTCTGAAAATTCTGGAGAAGCATTTTCTGTTTGAACAATAGGGACAACTCTCCCAACACAGTGCCTTTAGCAAGAGGAGCAGCAGCTGGAGCCACCTGACCAACTCTATATTTGCATGTAGTATTCAGATGGGGCAAGGGTTCCTTGTGCAGCATGGATGGGTGATGCTTCTGACATATCTTTTCCTGTACTGTCACACTTTTCTGGGGCTGTCTGCCCCTGTCCATGACCCATTTATTATTCCCTGTAGGATACCTCTGACCAGCAAAGCCAACTTCTTGGCTGCAAGATTTGGCACTTGGCACCTTAGCACAGGGAGTATTGACATTGAAGGCATGTTTCTGGATGGGTTCTGCCTGAACCGGCAATCCAGTCTTGTGCTGAATTTTCCCAGGCCTCATGGGGGTGGAAAGAGGCTTTTGCGGGGCGGTGGCCTCTACTCCATGCCGACCTGCTAGTTTCTCCTCTAGGATCTTCCCAATGTCTGTCATGATTTTCTGAGCTTCAGTATTCCCAGTAAAGGCAGCTCTCTTCTTAGCTGGGTTTCTGCCTTGCACAGATGATGAAGAGCTGCCATTTTTCAGAGAACCTTCTTGCCCTTTGCCTTTCATACCAAGATAAAGCCTTTGAAAAAAGTGTTTGAACTGGCTTTTAAAATTGTTTTCAGGAGAAGGCTGTCCCTTCAGTGATGGGGCTGAGGACTTGCTCCCAAGTGCCTCCTTTAGTGTTCTGTCTTGAGGGTGGGGGAGCTTCCCTCTAGGTTGGCGTGTCACCAACCCTGCATCCCCTCCACCAAACTCGCCTGTTTGGGGTACCAGAGGGCACACCCTTTTTGATGCTAATGGTATATTCTTATCCTGACACTTGCATAAGACATGTGTAGGGATCCCGGGTTCTTGCCCCTGCTCTATGTTGATCCCTCTGTTGTCACAGTGGGCTTGTAGAACCTGGGGAGCTGCCATGTCCCCACTAGAGGCACTATGAAAATGAGTGAAGGAAGTCAAGGTCTTGGAAGTCAAGGTCTTGCAAGTCAAGGTTTTGGGAGCTAAGGTCTTGGAAGCCAGGGTCTTGGAAGTCAACTTATCTGAGGCCAGAGACAACTCAGTAGAAAAGGCTGGAACCAGGCCCCGCTCCCTGCTCTCAATTTTCATCTTCAACTCATTAAGCAACTGATTTTTAAGATCTAATGATTTGGAATCTTTGAGAACTGATATTCCTTCTGGGGGCCTTTCAATGGTTAGGGTTGATTCAACTTTATTCATATTCATATCTGTCACTGAGGAGCTTTCTGACTCTGTGGTCGTCAGGCTGTTCGTAGACTGTGATCGAATAGCACAGAGCTCCTTTGCCTTGAATATCTCCCTGGACTTGTTAGACATGGGAAAATATTCTAAATTCTTAATAATTTTTCTCTGAATCTTTTCTATACTATTGCTGGGACTCACTCCCTTATTCCATGATTTGGGTCTGGCCCCAGCCTGCTTTGTGGGCAACTTTGGGCTGCATTTATTGGCTATTACAGTCTGTTTCTGACTGTCTTTATCTTTGTCACTGTGTGGGAAGGGCAACGAAGCCCGTCTGTCACCCTCAATTGCCTTGACATTCTCTGTAAGCTCAGGGTTGGTGTGAGAGGGTGAATGTGTTAGGGCCCTCTTATTTTCCTTGCTCACAGGTGAAGTGGCAGAAAGAGGATGATCTAGAGTAGGGCCTGAAATTATTGTTCCCACCTTGTTTACATGAAAAGTACTAATGCTTTCTTTAAGGGGCTTGGAGATCCCAATTTTGGAATCCTTGCCAGAAGTAAGACTGGATGAGGAGGAAATGTTGGAGCGAACTGAGGACCAGGATGGGGTTCCTTTCATTTTGAAGATGTCTATGGATTCCTGGACCTTTTGGGGAAGCCCACACATCATCCTCTTATGGAACAGTTTAATATGGTCTTCCAAGATCTTTTGTTTGTTGGAACCAAGGAAGGATATATCCTGGGAGGTATTGAGGCCCTTGTCCTTACATACCAGTGGTACCAAATCTCTGTGTTTTGTTTGGCTAGGGGATTTCTCAGGACTAATCAATACTGGCTCCATAGAATGCAATGATCTATTCACAGTGTCAGGCATCTGACACACATTGATTTCCTCAAATTTCTTGCTCAAATGTATTTCTAGGGCTTCTGTCAGTTGTTTCTGAACTGAGCTCTCCTCTGAGATCTTTGATTTTTTTCCAAAAAGACTATTCAATTCGTTTTTTAGGTTTGTCTTAAAGTCAGAGTCCAGATCATTATCTGGAGCCCCCTCTGAGTCACTCAATGGATCATCTTTTGTGCCAATCTCTAGACTATTTACTTTCTTCATTCTCTCCCTAGTGGAAGTAATTCTGAGCTCTTCTCATGGAAACTTCTGGGATGGCTCAATTGTAAATCTTTGCTACTTTGACCCTTAAACAAAGAGATCCATGAAAGTCCATAAGTGGACTTTGACTCAGATATCTCGGAAATTTTTGTTTCAGGACTCATCCTTGATGACAGAGACTCATGGACTCTGCGGGGCAGACCCCACCGGTGTTGAATAAGCCTTTTCTGAAGGTGGTGCTCTAGCTTCTTCCGAAGCTCTTTTTTGAGGGGAAAATCTCCCGGAATGATGGTTGTTGGAGCATAAGCCTTGGAGGACCATCTATCAGATAAAACACTGGGAGCTGCAGGACAAAACTCTTCCTTGGATTTTTGAACCACAGAGGGTAAACCCCACAAACTTTCCTGTCCTTTCTGTAATACATTATATTCCAAGTCATGAATTTTGGATGGCATGAGAGAGTGTACCTCATCCTGGAATCTATGAATCCTCACTCCACCATCACTAACCTGAGATGAAATGGGTGGTGACAAGGTAGGGACTGAAAATTGAAGCTGGTCCTGGGGTGGGACAGGAGATTGGCACTGAAGCTGGTCCTGGGGTGGGACAGGAGATTGGCACAGTGCTTGGGTCAAGGGTTGAGATTGGATCTCAGGCAAGGACAGAGTTGGGGGAGGGGGTAGAACTAGAGATTCAGGGGCTTCAAAGGAACTAGGCATTGAATTGAAGCAGACATAGGTTGAACAGTCACCTGATTCAGGTACTATAGATTTCAAGGACTCACTATGCAAAGATGGGAGACCCCAGAAGAATTGGGTACATTTTTTAGGTAAGTTATCCTCAAAGGTCTTAGGATCTGAGGACTGGTGGTCTACCTGCAATCCCTCTGATTTGCCTTCACTGCTCTGTGAAGGAAGGGAGACAGGTGAGTCCTGTTGCTCAGCAACTGACTCTAACCTTTTCCCTGAAGAATTCAATTGGTCGTCTGGCTTAAGTTCTTTTGGAAAAGATTTTTTTTTCCTTTTTCTTTTTGTTCTGCATCAGGAAATCACCCTTCTTTTTTATATGTCTCTCCAGAAGGGCCAAGACATCAGGGCATAGAAATGAGAGGTTTCCGGGCTCTACAAGGATGGCTGTAGTATCACTCTCAAAAGAGGCCTCAGGAGGATGGAGGTCGAGGAGGTTTTTGTCATCATCAGAGTGCTCCAATTTAGATGGAGACAAGTTTTCAGCATGAGACTGGTTTCCAGAGAACTCTGACACTGGAAGGCTTGCACTGTCAGTGCATGTGGTTGTTGGGACATTAGTAGACAACCCATCAGGGCTATCCACCAGAGACAAAGGGGCTTCTGGTTGGAGAACAGGTTTTGCTTCTTGACTGTCAGTTGGTGGGGGAAGGGTTGGAACAGGTGGGGGAGGAGTTGGAACAGATGTTTGAGGTGGGATATGATCCACTGGCAATTTTGAACTCAAGGGAGAAGGCTCTGGTGGCAGAGAGTCACCCAGTAATGAGGGTCCAGGTAGGTCCATTAAAGGGGTAATTTGGTCAGGTGAATGAATAGAGGAAGGAAATAGAGTTGGCTCAGTTAAAGGAGTTGAAACTGAAGCTCCCAGAGGGATTGCAGAGACAACATCAGACAGAAAAACTGATGACTCTCTCACAGACGTCACGGAAGACACACGGGACACAGAATTAAGAGCATCTTCCAAGGACGCCTTACAGATCAGTTGACTGACCTTAGCTGCTGTTCTATTACACACCCTACAGAGCGGGTCTGGACATAACAGTTGCCGAAAGCGGAGGAAATCATTATTCTGGCTCATGGGACTGTAAGAGAAAGAAAGCCAAAGCTGTAACCAGAACCACTACAAGGTAAGCAAGATCTGCAGTTCTATGGGTGGTGGGGAGCCCGCTACCTGCTCTACATTCCACACATCTATGACCTCACAATACCCTCCCCTCCCAAGTTCTTTATTCACATACCCATGGCTATGGCTATCCCTCCTGTGATTAGGGCATGTTGCGAAGAATTCCTGGGGGACTGAATAAAGCATGCTAGGAAAGGAATCAGTAAAGGGAAATGACTAATCACCTTTTCAGAATAGAAAGCAGCTTCCTCCCCTCCTCTACTTCTCTCCGGCAAGTTCTCCGACCTGGAAAACCAGGACAGTTGGTTATATATAGTAAAGGTAAAAACACAGGTTATCATTCAGGAGTTTTTACAGGAAACAGGATATTAAAGTCAGAAAGCCCTAAAAATCTGCAGATAAGGTCATAAGTGTCAGGGATAATAGTAAGAAGGTTCACAGGTATATGTGGTTCCATTTAGAAAGTACTTTCACCTGTACCATCCTACATGCTGCTCAAAACCACCACCTGAAGCACAAGGATCAGTAGCTAACTCAGGATGAATCTAATCAGCCAAGAATTAAAGTAGTTTACACCATGTCACCAGACAGAAATTCTGACTCCAAGACAATCGGGGGTCTTTGGACATCTCACAGGACCACCTACTTGGCAGTAAATGTCCAAGGCCCAGGTCCATCACTACTTCATTCACACCCAAGGAAGGGTGGGCAGGGAAGGGACTCTGAGAAATCTCTCAGGTCTCACTGCCTTCTCCTGAGCCTCTCCTCTGAGACCCTGCTTCCTGAGAGAGACTGCACCTAGAAACTGACATCCTCCAAGATCATGGAGCTGTAGGGAGATAGGAAAGTTCACCCTTATAGAGCTCAGGTTGAACAGGCAGAACCTTACCTTTAGATACTCCATTTCTCCTTCTCTTTGTTCCCTGACACTGAAAACAAAAAGAAAAGAATGAGGGGCTGGGGCTCATTTCTTTTACTCCTTTTGTTAACAAGCTTAGACATTCATTAGGCAAGAATTGGACAACTCTTCATTTTTAATTAGTAGAAATTGTATTCCTTCCTTTTATTAATCTTGAAGGGCAATGAAATATTTTCAATTTTTTACTTCTTTGATAATTTCAAAGGACATTTTTGTCTGTGAGATTCCACATTTGATGGTCTTAAACCCTCTGCGGAAGGAGGGCATAGAATCTGAGGCCAACAGTTACGTCTGGGCTCCCCCGGGGAACCCTGTGTCCTGGGGCAGACCTCAGGCTACAGGCTCTACTCCGAGGTCAGCACTGCTGTCCTGATCAGCCCAATATGAAGGCTGGGTGAAGCACATCTGACATGGGAATGAGACTCAGAATCTAGTCAGAAGAGACCCGTCTCCTTCAGAGAAGCCACACTCTCTATCCAAACCAATCTGGAACCCTCCATCACACCCCAAAAGATAGTCTGTGAGCTTCAGATGGAAACCTTAGTCCTTCCCGAACCTCTGACTTCTTTCCCTAAAGAGTGAAGTTCTATCTTGTCCTCAGACTTCCCAAGTCACATCTCCTTTGAGCCAACCAAACATTTAGTAATGTGAGAATGGAAATAACAAATCACATTTGACATTTCACAAAACATTTCACATTTGACAAAATCAAGAAACTCCCTTGGGAGTTCACTCTGCTTCCTTACCTTCTTCTGGATGGCTTTATTTTTCTCGAGTGTTGGTGAAAATTGTTTCAATACCTGAAAGGACAGGTATAGAAAAAGCAACACCAACCCACTAAAAATGGTACTTTGGGGATCAATATCCCAAAGAATTGAACCAAGATCAACCATGGTTCAGTATGGCTATTCAGCAAAGAGAAAACATTCTTCATCTTCTGAATTGCTCGGTTGCCTAAGGCAAATGAGTTCTGAAGGTGCCCGGGCTTCTCTATATCTCCAGGCTTGCATCACACACCATTGAAGAGTCACAAAGGGAAAGGATTCTGAGGGTGGGGAGAGAAGACTTGAGGAGGTTGTGCCCCTCCTCCACCTGCCCACCAGCCAGCAGATCCTTCTGCTCAGGTCTGTTGTTCCATTTCCCACTCGACTCTTTCCTCATATCATGCCTTCATTATCTCAGGGAGCATTCCTGTTTGTTTCATGTGTAACCAAGATGTTTTACATGAGTCCCTTTTTACTGTTTGGATCCCTTGACTTACACCCCACCAATTCCACTGCCTTGAAAATCTGACATACACTGCCTGGAATTTTTGCTTGTACCAAGACATTTACACTCTTGGGTCACCTACATCCTTAAATCTATCTTATCTACAGAAAGCTTTTGCTTTACTCTAACTCACATGTAAAACTTAATGTTCTTTCATACTTATGTAGTTTTATAAGTTTCAATAGCAAATTTTTGTTTCAATCAGCCTGTAGTGTCTTCAATCACAGTGGCTCACTCTCATTAAAACTAATAATTTGTTAGTCAACACTGTGAAACAAAAATAAACATTAAAAAAAATCTAAATAAAATTGAAACTTCAAGTGATCTTGGAGATAAGTTTATAACGCTTGTTTTTTTCTGAAGTAGTGAAGATTAAACATAACAAAGACTATTGGATGTGCTCTATTTCCTGCCCCCTGACAAATTGATCCAGTGTTTTCAAATCTGATAATCAACCATCTTCTCATTTTTTTTTCAATTCTTCATTCATTATTTTGATCTAACTTGCTTCTAGCTACCTAAAATTCAAATATTCCCTGCCTCCATATCAATTTCATAATGCTTATATGACTTTCTCAAACCAGGAAGAGGTTATGGTGTGCTAAGGAATTGAACCCTCAGTCCTTGGTGGCAGGAAGCCACCTAAAATGTCAGAACCTTAGGGCAGATTCTAGTCTTGAAGAGCATTACCCTTGTGGGACACATAATTTTGATATTTTCCTAAGAAAATAAGAGTGTCTTGCCATGAAAAAAGCTATTAAGATCTGTGCTATATAAGCACCCTACTACTAATGGAAAATCAACTGCCTATCATACATGATTCAAGCAAAACTTTTGATATTTAAATAGCCTCAATATTGCCCCAGCCTTCTTCTTACACCTGCTTTTTAAAACCCTTTATCATCATGACAGCTATCCTCCTAACTGTCCCCTAACTTGTCATGTCTTTTTTAAACCCTGAAACCTCTTATCTGATGCCCATAACCCAGCAGCATTATTGATCTCTTTGACAGGATAAGGCAGCCTCCAAGCCAAGCAGTCTCTATTCAGTTAGGCAGGAGCAGGTACCCTGCCTTGAAGATCCCCCATCCTTTTGATATGCAGCCTCAGTCAGGTTTCCATTTAACAAATATTTACTAGTGAAGACTAGGAGACATGGACAGCTGTAAGTCACAGGCTCTGCCCTTATCCTTAAGGAGCTCATGTTGAGACTGTAGAGATAAGTCCTACACAGTTGGAAAGCTGTACAAAGGCAGAAGAAAGGTCCAGAACCCCTTAGCATTTGTTAATTCCCAAGAGATTTGTGGAGTAGATCAGAGACTGTGGGTGTTAACAGCTAGAACACATCATGCTCTGTACCAAGGCTTCCCTGCCTGTCTCCCCAGTTTTCTGAAACAAAATCACAATCCTTTGGGAAGATAAAGAAAATCTTTTCTCTCTCTCTCTCTCTCTCTCTCTCTCTCTCTCTCTCCCTTTCTCTCTCTCTCTCTCTCTCTCTCTCTCTCTCTCTCTCTCTCTCTCGGCAGGGGGTGGGTACTGGGGATTGAACTCAGGGCCACTCGACCACTAAGCCCCATCCCCAGCCTTATTTTGTATTTGAGATAGGATCTCATTGAGTTTCTTAGCACCTCCCCATTGCTGAGGCTGACTTAGAATTCATGATCCTCCTGTCTCAGCCTCCCAAGCTGCTGGGGATCACAAGCATGTGCCATAGTGCCCAGCACCTGTTCTCTTTAAAATGGCATTTTTGGCTACGTATTCTTTTTTTTTTTTTTTCAGAAGAAGATATATTTAATTTTATTTTTCCATATTTTATTGTTACATTATAGTTTCACATAATGGTAGGATTCATTGTTACAGATTCATACATGCACACAATATAACAATATAACTTGGCCAATATCATTCCCCAAGATTTCCCCTTTTCCTCACTTTCTCCCTTCCACTGGCCTCTTTCCTCTACTCTTCTGATCTTCCTTCAATTTTCATGAGGTTCTCCTCAACCATTCTTTTCCTCTTTCCTCTATAGTTTCTACATGAGAGAAAAAAGCACACAACCCTTGACTTTCTGAGTTTGACTTATTTTAGTTAACATAATATTCTCAAGTTCCATCCATTTTCCTGAAAATGACATGATTTAAAACTCCTTTGTGTATGTACGCCAGAGATTCCTTTCACAGATTCACAGATCCATTCATCCATGTTGGACACCTAGGCTGGGTCAATAGTTTGACTATTGTGAATTGTGCTGCTATAGTATATTTCTTAGGATAAATGCCAAGGAGTGGTATAGCTGGATCATAAGGTGTTCCCATGCCTAGTCTTTAGAGGAACCTCCATACTGATTTTCATAAAGGTTGTACTAATGTACAACCCTACCAGCAGGATAAAAGTATTTCTTTTAAAAAATAAATGTTGGCAAGGATGTGAGGGAAAAATATATAATCATCCATTGTTGGTGGAACCAACCTAGGTGTACTTCAAAAAATGGGTAAAGAAAATGTGGTATATATACATAATGTAATTTTACCCAGCCATAAAGAAGAATTATGGCATTGTAGAGGTCTTTCACCTCCTTGGCTAGATTTATTCCTAAGGTCATTGGGTTTTGAGATTTTTTGGTTTATTTTTTGTTTGTTTGTTTGGGTTTTTTTTTTTTTAGCTATTTTGGATAAGATTTCTCAGCAGATTCATTGTTGATATAGAAGAAAATTATTGACTTTTGTATGTTGATTTTTTAACCTGTTACTTAGTTGAATTTATTAATTCTAGCAGTCTTCTGGTAAATATTTATGGATCTTATATGTATGGGTTCATATCTGCAAACATATAAACATATCTGATAATTTGACTTCTTCCTCTCTTATTTTTATCCTTTTTTTCCTTCTCTTGCCTAATTGCTCTGACTATAATTCCTAGCACTACATTGGACTAGAGTGGTAAAAGCAGTCACCCTTGTCCCAAATCTTAAAGGAAATACTTTCAATTTTCCTCCATTCACAAAGATGTTGGTTTCAGACTTATCATAAATAGCCTTTATGATGTCAACATAAGATCATTCTATCCTAGGCTAAAGAAAAGTTAAAGGGACATGAATAGGAAAAGAAGAGTTCAGACTATCTCTATTTGCCAATGACATGACTCATGATTCTCTATTTAGGAAAAAAAAAAAAAAACTCTACCAAAAACTTTTAGAACTCATAAACAAATTCAACAAAGTAGCAGGATATAAAATCAACACCCATAAATCAATTGTGTTCCTATAGACCAATGATAAATTAGCTAAAAAATAAATTAGGAAAGCTATCCCATTCATAATAGCCTCAAAAAGAAAAAAAAAAGAAGAAGAAGTACTTAGGAATCAATCTAACAGTAGAGGTGAAAGACCTATACAATAAAAACTACAGAACACTCCAGAAAGAAACTGAAGAAGACCTTAGAAAATGCAAAATCCCCCATGTTCATGGATAGGCAAATTAGTATTATCAAAATTGTCATGCTCTCAAAAGCACTAAACAGATTTAATGTAATTCCCATTAAAATTCCAATGATGTTCTTCATAGAAATGGAAAAAGCAGTTATGAAATTTATTTGGAAAAACAAGAAGCCCAGAATAGCCAAAGCAATCCTTACTGAGAAAAGTGATGCAGGAGGCATCACAACACCAGATTTTACATGATACTGCAGAGCCATAGTAACAAAAATGCCATGGTACTGGCACCGAAACAGACATGAAGACCAATGGTACAGAATAGAAGACATAGAGACAAACCCACATAAAAACAGTTATCTCATACTAGACAAAGGCACCATAAGCATACATTGGAGAAAAGATAGCCTCTCCAACAAATGGGTGCTGGGAAAACTGAAAGTTCATGCATATCAAAATGAAATTAAACCCCTATCTCTCACCCTGCACAAAACTTAACCTGAAGTGGATCAAGGACCTAGGCATTAGACCTGAGACCCTGAACCTACTAGAAGAAAAAGCAGGCCCAAATCTCCATCATTCAGGTTAGGAACCAACTTCCTCAACAAGATTCCTAAAGCGCAAGAAGTAAAATCAAGTATCAATAAATAGGATGGTATCAAACTAAAAACTTTTTCACAGCAAAGGAAATAAGAATGTGAAGAGAGAGCCTATGGAATGAGAGAAAATCTTTGTCACCGCAACATACACACACACACACACACACACACACACACTAATCTCCAGGATATATAAAGAACTCAAAAACTTAACACCAAAACCACAAATAACCCATCAATAAATGGGCAAAGGACTTGAACAGACAATTCACAGAAGAAGAAATATGATCAGTCAACAAATATATGAAAAATTTTTCAACATCTCTAGCATTTAAAGAAATGCAAATTAAGACTACATTAAGATTTTTATCTCACTCCAGTCAGATGGCAATTATCAACAATCAAGTAACAATAAATGTTGGGGAGGATGTGGGGGGAAAGGTACTGTAAATTGTTGCAACCACTCTGGAAAGCAGTATGGAGATTCCTCAGAAAACTTGGAATGGAACCACCATTTGACCCACTCATTCCACCAAAAGGACTTAAAATCAGAATACTACAGTGACACAGCCACATCAATGTTTATAGAAGCTCATTTCACAATAGCTAAGCTATGGAACCAACCTAGGTACCCTTCAACAAATGAATGGATAAAGAAAATGTGGTAGGGGTGAGGATGTGGCTGAGTGGCAGAGTACTTGTCTTGCATGTGTGAAGCAGTGGTTTCGATCGTTAGCACCACACAAAAACGAAATAAATAAATGAAGGCATGCTGTCCATGTACAACTGTAAAAAAAAAGAAAAATGTGGTATATATACACAATGGAATATTACTCGGTCATGAAGAAAACTAATGACATTTTCCAGCAAATGGATGGAACTGAAAACTATCATGCTAAGTGACATAAGCCAATTCCCAAAATACAAAAGCTGAATGTTCTCTCTGATATGTGGATGCCAGCACACAATAAGGGGTGCAGTGTTGGTAGGAAGAATAGAAGTTCATTGGATTAAACAAAGAGGAATGAAGGGAAGGGAGGGGGGAATGGGAATAGGAAAGACCATAAAATGAATCAGACGTAACTTGTCTATGTTTAAATATGAATACACAACCAATGTAACTCCACATTGTGTATAACCACAAGAATGGGAAGTCATACCCCATGTATGTATATATGTCAAAGTACACTATATATATAGATAGATGCACACACACACACACATATATATACATATATATGACAATACAACAAGTACACAGACACCACACACACACACACACGGGAGGAAAAAAGATTCGTAATGAAAAATGAAAGAATTATCTTCACTGTGGTGGTCAAAACTGTTGATGGGCATGGACGGCCACTGCCTGTGCCGGACTGTCCTCCTTTCCATTTTTCTTGAGCTATGTGCCAAGAGAAAGAGAAAGAGCAAGGGTTGGATGTTTCTGACCCCTTTCTTTTTCTGTGTTGCTCACTAAGCTTCCAGTTGGAGGCCTTAAACCGAAACTGGTTGGAATAGCTCAACTTCCCTCCTCAGCAGTATAAGGCAGGATGGCATGGGGGGTACTGTCGATCGAAGTTCTGTCTGAACAGACCAGAAGGATGCACTGCCAGGGAAGGGCTGCAGCAAAGTTTTAAAAGGGAAGTTACAGCGGCTGGGGTTTAGCTCTACTCAGGCCTGAAGGATTTTGTTGGTGGGTACCTGTTCTGGAAAGATTAGACCAACTCACTCCTTGGACCAGGCAGATGCTGGTCTCTGCTGGGAGTCTGGATCTCAGGAGCCTCTCAAGAATTCTATTCACAGGGCAGGGGAGCCAACCCTGGGCTGGTCTTACACATACCTCTGCACACTAATACAGCCTTCCCAGGCTCAGTCCCTGAGAGCAGGCTCAGTCCCAGCCTGCTCAGTACCACCAGCTGCAGCATGGCCTCCTCAAGGTGGCTCTCACCTCAGCTCTGCGCTGGCCAGTTGAGAAACACCGAGCGCTTTTCAAACACGGCTTCACTGTGCAGCCTTGGGATCTGCTAAATTCAGACAGCTTTCCTGATCCGCGCTTTTTTGTTGTTGTTGTTGCTGTTGTTGTTGTTTTTTTTTAAGAGAGAGAGAGGAGAGAGAGAGAAAGAGAGAGAGTTTTCAGTGGACACAATATCTTTATTTTATTTTTATGTGGTGCTGAGGATCGAACCCAGTGCCGCACACATGCCAGGCGAGCTCGCTACTGCTTGAGCCACATTCCCAGCCCCTTATCTGCACGTTTTTTAGGCAAAATTTGTTCATTTTGTTTCTTTCTCTGTTTCTGTGAACTAGCACCCCTAATGCTAACACCAAGGTCCTCTTTCTTGTTCTTAATTCAATGCACCCAAATTTCTGAGACTCTAAGAGATTCTGACTGTCTCATCTTGAACTCCAGTGAATTCTGTCTTTTACCGAGCTCACTGAGAAGCAGTTCTGCTGCTGCTTAAATCCTGAGTCATAAAGCAACTGAAAACGCAGGCTTCCTCTAATCTGCCATCTTGAATCCTATGGCCAGTATGACTAGATATTCTTAAATACACATATGTGCCTAGAGTTAAAACCTGCAAGAAGTTTTTATAATAATTCTTTTCCCAAATGCTAATAAGATTCTTTCCAGAATATGATAGAAGGTCCTTCACAACTTAAAAGAGTCAGAGACTAAATGCATCAATTGTTTGGTGCCACCAATAAACTCCATTGATATTAAGTGATGGAGATTCTTAACACTTACCCTTCCTATACTAACATCAACTGTACATAATCATTTGTTTGTCCAATTCACATAACCTTTACTTCCAGCAATGTCAATGGATTTTTCACAACTACTCTGCAAGGTAAGCAGGACAGGTATTGGTAAGCCCATTTTCTCAGTGAATAAAACCAAGATCAAAGAGGGTAAGACACTGAGAGTGGTAACTTCTATAGATTACACAGCAAAGGAGGAGCAGAGCCCTGACTAATAAATCTCCTACAGTCTCAATGCTTCTATTTAAAACAATATTAATAAGTGATTTCTTAGAACAAGACATAGGCCCTAGTCCCAAAATTAAAGAAGTTGTGTGGCTAAAAATGCGCATCTGTCCATTAAATGCTGGCAAATTTGGGAAGTTAAGAAAGCTATTTTGGGTGCCCTGTCACCTCTCAGGTAACTTCCTTTCTGATCTTAGCAGTGTCTCTAGTTTTTTTTCTCAATTGTCTTCTTAAAGTCTAGGGTTTTTTAATTAAATCATATTAAATTATATAAAAATCCATGTATTTATTGGTGCATTACAGTTGTACATAATGATGGGATTTGTTGTTACATATTCATACATACACACAATGCAACAATAGAATTTGGCCAATATCACTCCCCAACACTTTCTCCCTTCCTCCCCACCTCCCATTCTTGTTCCCTTTCCTCTATTGATCTTGCTTTGCTTTTTATGATGTCATCCCCCATCTTTCTTTTCCTTTTTCCTCTCTAACTTCTGCATCTAGGAGAGAACATATGAACCCTGACATTCTGAGTTTGGCTTATTTCACTTAACATAATAGTCTCTGGTTCCATCCATTTTCCTGAAAATTACATGATTTCATTTTTCTTTATGTAAAGTCTGTTTTTAAGAAATATTAACTACATACCATGATCCCCACTGAGCTAAAAATGAATAACAGTAAAGCTTCATCCCTCCTGGGGATATATTCTCAGGAAAAACATTCACACATTTACATTTATCTAAACTGTAAGACTTCTATATGCTCCCACTAGAGCACTTCAGGGAGACATTGGGTGGTGGCTGAGATAGCTTCCTCTACAATGAAGTCATCCCTTTGTTGTCCCCTAACATCTCCCCATTTACCTACAAAGGTACATAAGATACAGAAAGGTACAAAGATACAGAAGTCTTATCCCAAATTTCTCAATTGCTTATACTGTCTCCAAGGAGGAGTATTTGCCCAAAGCTCTACTAGAGTAATATGCTACTATGTGAGGATTCTTAGTATGGATAAGTTCTTAGTTTAGGACTTTTGTATATTCTCAATTTCCTAGGAAATTTCCTCAATACTCTCTCATTGTCATCCTGACCACTGTCCCTGGGAGAAACCTCTTAAAGGCACCTGTTTTCAGGATACCCCAAAGCCTAAAGAGAATCATTCATTGCAGTTTATTTTAAAACTGCATTGAAAAAAGATTCATTATAGGAGGTTCTTCATACATTCACACAATATACATCTATCTCCACTATGTGATGCTTCCAGTACTGTATAAATGTCAAAAAAATATGACATTGCCTCTGCCCTCAAGTAGATTGTAGTTCAAGAAGTGAGATCCCAAAACAACTATAAAACAATGTGATGCAAACTATAAAAGAAGTAGGAATAATACACAGTGGGAACTTATATAAAGGAACAAGTAGTTTTTCTGCTAGGATTAAGTGGGGAGAGATGGGTCAGGGAATCAGGGAATACTCCCTCAAGTTGGGCCTTATGAGATAGTCATGCTTCCTCCCTCCTCCTTGTCTTCTTATTCCTCCTCCTCCTCCTCTTTCTTCTATACTTGAGATTGAATCCAGGGCCTCGAATGTGCTAAAAAAGTTCTCTTTGAGACAGGATTTCAGTAAGTTGTCCATGAACTTGTGATCCTCCTGCTTCAGCCTCTTGAATAGTCAGAATTACAAGAATGTGCCACCATGCTTGTTTTCTTCTTTTTTTTAATAGACTCTATTTTTAGAGCAGTTTTAGATTCCTAGAAAAATTAAGTGGAAAGTATAGATGATTCTCATAGCCCCCTATTCCCATGCAGTCACAGCCTCCCCTACTATCAGCATCCCAAATTAGGGTGTACATTTGTTGCAAATTGATGCACCTACACTGACACATTATTATCACTTCAAGCCATAGTTTACATTAAGCTTCAATTTTTATGTTGTACAACCTATAGGTTTTGACAAATGTATAATGATATGTATCTAATACTCTGTTTTCATAAAATATGGTTTAACTGCCTTAAAAATTCTGTGCTCCACTATTCATGCCTCTCTCCCTTCCCACTAGTCCTGAAAGCCACTGATGTTTTTACTGTCTCCACAGTTTTGCCTTTTCTAGAATGTCACATAGTTGGAATTTTGTGTTCTATAGCCTTTTCAGATTGCAATATTTCACTTGGTAATGATCATTAAGTTTCCTACATACTTTTTTCATGGTTTAATAGCTCATTTCTTCTTAGTATTAAATAATAACCATACAATTTACACATTAAAATTATATAATTTAATAACATTTATCCACAACCACAGTCAATTTTAAAACATTTCATTACTTCTACTTAATTTTCTTTTTTCTATTAGTTGCTCAAGACAATACAATGATATTGACATATCATACATTTGATTCAAATAGGGTATGAATTCTCATTTTTCCACGTGTACAGATTGCAGGATCACATTGGTTATACAGCCATGTATATACATACTGCAATACTAGAGTCAGAATACAACTGACTCTACTTAATTTTCACTCTTCAGTATTTGCACTCTAACCCCCAGCCCTTATCAACTTTCTTGCTCTACATATTCTTGCTTTGAATATCACTGTTTTTTTTTTTAAAGAGAGAGGGAGAGAGAGAAATTGTTTTTAATATTTATTTTTTAGTTTTCGGTGGACACAACATCTTTATTTTTTATTTTTATGTGGTGCTGAGGATCGAATCCAGCGCCCCGTGCATGCCAGGCAAGCGCGCTACCACTTGAGCCACATCCCCAGCCCGAATATTTTAAAAGGCTACACATTACATGGGCATTCACTCCAGACATTTCACATACATGGAATCATACAGTATATGCCCTTTGTGTCTGGCTTCTTTTACTTCGTAGGTTCACCTATGTTGTAGCATCTATCAATACTTCTTATGTTCTTATGTTTAAATAATATTTCATTGTGTGGATGTACCACATTTGTGGTTCAATTTGGTTGTATTTCACACAAGCGTCAGTACCCAGTGGTTGGGGAGGAGGCAACTTTTGTTCACCACAGATAGTTTGAGAAACTATAGTTAAACAAACATGGTCTGAGAAGCCTTGGTATGAGGGTTAATTTTATGTGTAAACTTGACTGGACCATGGAGCATCCAGATATTTTTCAAACATTACTTCTAGTTGTGTGTGTGTGCATGTGTTTCTAAATGAGGTAAGCATTTGAATTATTTGGCTCAGGAAAGCAGATGGCCTTTCCCAATACTGATGGGCTGACTAGAACAAGAAAATAAGGAAGGGAGACTCTGTCCCTTTTTTCTACCTGCCTGCATGAGCAGTCTGAGTCTGCCATCAGACTGAGACTTACACCAGTGGCTTCCCTTTTTCTCAGGCCTTTGGACTTGGATTGAATGATACCACCAGCTTTCTGGGTCTCCAGGTTGCAGTCCACTGGACTTCCATATCTCCATAATTGGGTGAGCCAATTCTTCTTAATGAATCTCTTCATATATAATGTGTGTATGTGTATGTGTGTGTGTGTGTGTGTGTGTGTGTGTCCCCTATTGGTTCTGTTTCTCTGGGGAAGCCTAACTAATATGCTTGGGATGAAATCAGCAGATTACTAGGGAGAATCTTCCCTCTTCCAATAAGAAGGGAGAAAAAATAAATTCCCCTATATTGTGGGCCCTATTTTGAAGAAGGAAAAGACTCTCCCAATTGACTTTGACTTTCTTATTGTTTTCTTGCTTTCCTTACAATTAACCTGTCCTTATTCATAGTCCCTGGTAAGAATTTCATCTGCAAAAGCTTTGAATATCACTGTTTTAATAGGCTAAACATTACATGGGCATTCACCTACTTTCCCCATTAGAACTTTTATTACAAGAATCAAAGTATTCAAATGGCTCTCCTAAGCCATTAAGAGCAAAACAACTTTGAGCTAGAGTAACACAAGTAATTACTAAACTGAGCTGGATTTCTTTGCTATGCTCTTGGCACTAAGGTATGGAAATTCCAGAGTCCTATAAGAGGTTTGAAGAAAAAAAAATGTTTAAGACAAATTTCAGGGATCAAATTTTCTGATTAAAAATACATTTTAGAAAA